AGGTCTGGCATTATTAGGGACAGAGCAAACAATATGTCTTTTGATTAATTTTGATAATTTCATGTGTTTACTGATGAGTAGAGAACAAGCTAACAGGACTGCATGCTACGCTATGCTATACATAAATATGTGTTGAGCTGTTGTTGAAGCTTGGACAAGCATTATTTCACTAAGGGTTTAAAGGAATAGTACACCCAAAACATGATTAGCCTTCATTTTCTACTCACCCCCATGCTGAACAACACTCTGGAGTACTTTTTTGATATCTCAAATGCATCTGGAGATCTGGGAGGCTTCTTGCTGTCTGCTGACATTCAAATAATGGAGATCTATGGCGCCCGAGGCAGAAAGGTCCAAAAAAGTCCACAAAAAACGTGTCAATATTCCTCCATACTGCTCGTCCAATGTATTCCAAGTGTCCTGAGTGGGTAGCATCCAGAATTTACTCGAAACGAAGTCATTTAGAATGTTTTTAGAGCATAAACAGTAGTGTATAGGATTTCCTTAAAGCGCGCGCCTGCGAGTTCACGACGCTACGGAAACCGCGGCAGACCAAACCAGATGAGAGTGCGCATATAAACATTATATATCTGTCTGCAGCTCAATATCTCTATCAGACTGTAACCAGTGGAAAACTTAGCCTCACTCTACATCAGAGGTGTCAAGTAACATAGTACCATTACTTCATTACCTTAATTAACTTTAAATTTTGGCCGTCTATAATATACCTGAGTAATTACTTTGTAGACAACTTTTTACTTCTACTCCTTACTTTTTTTTTGCAGTTACATTTTAAAAACATTTTTGTTTCATTTAAGCTAATTTTCATTATAGCCTGTTAGTATTAAAAAAATAAATAAAAAACATTCAAATAATGTGTTTCATGCAGACAATTTCTTTGTGGTTTACTCTGTGCAGCACCAACATGTTCACCACATATCAAATTAAATAGTTTTTCAAGATAATACGACTCTGTTGCCATTAGTTATAAAAATAAGACAATAAAGTCTAAATAGATTATCATCAACAGTTGTAGAAACATTTTACTTTGATAGGGTAGTGCAGTAAAGCATCTGTCCTTAAAATTTTTTCTCTGAATATCTTATTAACAACAGAATCGAGTGGATGGCGTCGGCGTCTAAGGCTGGAACCTCTGCAGGTGGAGACAGTAGGCTAGAGACCATGTGTTTCTGGAGGTGAACAATCACAAACGAATGAGTGACTAACCTGGTGTTATAGTTCAGTTAGGGTCCAGAGGTAGAGGATTGTTCCGGCCGCCAAGGCGGCTCAGAGGTTACTGTACATCGAATCCCAAACGCAGCTGTAGTGGAGGTCAGAGGACAGGTAGGAAATCAGTACCAAGCAGAAGGATGTAAGCAGGATAATCCAGAGGGTTAAGCCAGAGCTAATGTCAGAGATGTGGTAGATTGTCAGAGCAAGGAGGTCAGAGATCCGGTGAGGCGCCAAAGGAAAATCCATGATGTAGGCCGGCAACAGTTCCAGGTTCCATACACAATAAGGCTGACAGGCTGGACAAGGGCAGGCAGAATCAGTGATTGGGTAACTGTTCTGGTCAGTACACAAGCAAGCAGAGATCAGGCAGAAGTCAGAAGACAGATCAGGCAAACAGATCAGATGGGAACAGGCAGGCTCAGAGGTCGAGAGGCAGAACGGATCAGGATCAACAACATGTACACTAGAGTAAGTCTCACCACACGGCTCAAAATAACCTGGCACTGATGACTGGTCTGAAGGCTGATTAGATAGAGATTAATCCAGGTGGATTAGATAAGCTGGTAAGGAAAACTGGGTGAAGCTAAGCAGGTGTGTGATATGAGGGATCAGACCAGGCATCAGAGCAAAGATCATGACAAAAAATGGCACTTTTAAACTTTTGTATGAGTAAAAAGCTTATGTTGATACTTTAACTTCTACAAAAGTGTTTTAAACAGTAGGATTTATACTTCTACTTGAGTAATGAACATCTCTGCCCTTAGAGTGTCCAAAACATTCAGCTGAAGGTCAGAAGACAAAAATAAGTGGATCTGGGCTAGGGTGTTTTGTTTCTAAGTTCACAGATAAACACACTTTGGTCTTTTACTAGCTCAGAAGTAAAAAAAAAAAAAAAAGCAAAAACAAACCACTCAAATTGAAATTGGGGAATCATTTTCTTCCTATCAAAACTCCAGTTTTGTTGTTGCTTTCCAGGTGGGCATTGAAGTCTGCCAGCAAGCTGACAACATCCCAAAGAGGCACCATCTAGCAGCCAAGCCAGAGGTCCCAAGAAGGCTAGGTACCCAAAGCTACTGATGGTCCAGGGTGAGACTCCACTGTGGTAAACCCCAACATGAGATGAGAAGTTTAGGATCTCACAATGAGCCGGGCTGCGTAGCCCAGGTTGTGCATTAAGGTAGGCGTAACTTTTTCTTTCACTCAGTCGCCTACAATCAGGCTCCTTCCTTTCAGTTAGGTGATATTCTGTATTTCTCAAGCCATTTTAAGTACATCTCTTCCTTTGACCAACTCTTTTTGTACAGGTCCCTAATGGTTCTCCCTGAAAGTGGTGGGGCCAATGGGGAATGGTCTAGCAGATGGTGTCATGGTTTTGGTTCTGTTTAAGTTTTATCTTTGAGTTTTAGTTGGTTTTATTTCCATTTTGTGTTATTATAGTTATTTTTTATTTTATTTGAGTTCTTAGGTATTTCTTGTTTGCCCCTGTTGCCCTCTTGAATTGAAATTGATTCTCCAATTTCAATTTGAGTGGTTTGTTTTTGCTTTTTTTTTTACTTTTGTGATAGTAAAAGACCAAAGTGTGTTTATCTGTGAACTTAGAAACAAAACACCCTAGCCCAGATCCACTTATTTTTGTCAGACTCAATCTCTTAGCTCCCTTCTAGACTCCTTTGTTCTCACCTGCTGCCAATCTGCTGATTAGCCTTGTCTTTTTTCTCTCTCCCATATATGCACCTGCTGCTCAGTCATTTCTTTGCCCCTTTCTTGTTTTGAGTATTCCCAGTTTTCAGCATTTTTGGATTGTGTGGATTTATATGTGCTTCTGTTACCCTTTATATTATTCAATCTTCATGAAACACCTTTTTTTCAAATGTAATGACATTGCTCTGTACTGAATTACCAGAAGCCTAGTCTTGCCACAGGAAAACAGGATTAGATGTCAATTTGTTTTGTGTTAAAGGTAACACTTCCTCTGCCTCCTTTTACTTTATCCCAAATCACTGGAAGATATTATTACCCCATATACACTACCCTTAAAAAACCGTGCCAAGACCGGTCCGAGCTCAGTAACTGAAATAACTTATCGTGTGTAAATAGAAAGCAAACTGAACTGAACCGAGCTAGACACAACCGAACCGAGCTAACTGCAGACCAGTTCCAGAGGTGGGCTCGGCTTGGTTTTTCCCTGGTTCGGTTCTCTGAGAACAAGAGCGCATGACCAGAACGCGTCATCTGCGTATGGCTGCACATCCCGATTCACACTCCATTCCAGTAGTTGGCAGTAATGCCCCTCCTGAAGTTGCTTGCCAACCAACACAAAACAGAATAAGAAGAACAACTATAAACAACAATCGAAATTTTCTCAACGCAACATTTTAAATAATGGTTGCTGTCTTCGCCTGAACCTCCGCAAACACCAAAGTACAGCAATAATAATCAAGCATAACTTTCTGAATGTGACGGGCGCGCCATTTTGATTTGCTTGATTCCCTCCTTCTTTGTGTTCTTCTTCTTGTGTTTTATGGCAGTTGGCAAACAACTTTTGGTGCATTACCGCCACCAACTGCTTGATTTCCTCCTTCAATGCTGGCAGTAATACCGCAGATCGCCACTAGGAGGCAAGGAGTTGAGGAACCGAGATAGAATGATGTGTAAACAGTCGTCAGAGCCGAGCTCGGCCTGGTTAACTGATCAGAGCTCGGACCGGTCTCGGCATGGATCGGTTTTTCAAGGGTAGTGTAAATGGGGTATATGTGACCACATATAATCTGTAGACTACTGCAATTACAGTAATCTCCTCCAGGTATAGCTGCGTTACACACTGATTTGTTAGTCTGGAGTCAAAACTCTTTTACAACTTTTGACTGTGTGCTAGTTGTTAACTGCTCAGATCTTGCCGTTTTTTTTTTTTTTAAAGGTTTGTGCTTTAAACATTAAAACGAGTGTAAAAAAAGCCACTGACAAAAAAATAAGAATAATTCAGATTGAATATCTGTTGTTTTTCTTGTTTTAACACTTGCTTTTAAAGTACTGGATCAAAGATCATAGTATAAAACAGGCTCTATAAATAAAACAAGAGTTCTGTCACCATTCCCTTTATTCTATCTCATTATTTCATTTTCTCTTCTGTCTCATATTCTCATTAACACCTCTGCCCTTTTAGCTTGTTGTCTCCTCTGTTTCTCCCTTTTATAAAGCAGCAATGCAACACTTTTACTTTGCTCAGTTCACCGCCCCCCCCCCGTTCCTTCCACACTTCTAACAAACAATGTGTCCTAAAGAAACAGGAGGGCAGAAGACATCCAATTAAAAAAAACAATGCATTATTATTTCTCGGCTCCCCCTCTCTGCAGTTTCCCGAAGCCTTTCAGATTATATAACAGCTCATTGTCAAGGGAGCCAGCCTGTGGAGGACAAGTTGAGTGGTCTTTGCCGACGATGCGGCTCACCAACACTGGACTTTCCCCAACAGCTTGCGTACCACCTCTCTTTGCTCCACCTCCTCCTTTCTCCCCTTCCACCCACCCATGAGCCCACCCCTCTCTCTGCTCTACCCAAACACACACATGCACGCACTGAATATTGAATGCACAGGGATTGCAGCAGCAGCAGCAACAGCAATGTGAGATGGAGATCTCCACTGCGTGTGTGAGTGCCTGTTCCTGGTCAGTGCGAGGACGAGAGTGGATGAGTTTCAGTGATGCTTGAATAAGGTGTTTGAAGGAGAACAGGGGGGTAGGGGGGTGGGGGGTTTTGAGTAAAAGACAAGAGGAAGAGGAAGGATATATCACTCTAGTTTTGAGACGATGTCTGTCTGCTTTCCCCCTCTCCTATCTCGATAACCTAAGTCTTTGCCGGATGTGCTATAACTACTTCAGCTGTCACTGCACTGGCAGCCTCTCTCTCAATACTCCCTTCCCCTATGAGAACTGCTCCAGGGGCTGGACGGCACCCTGGCATCCTGTGAATACATGGATGAACAATGGATCTACAGGGGATCTGAGCTGTCTTGTCCTTTTCACCTCTGATCTATTTTCCAAGGTAAGACATAGAGTTACACATGAAAATACAGTTCAACAGATATTCTTAAGCTTTGGCAGCAAGTCATTTTCTCAGAATCTTAAATCATAACTAAATGAAAGTGTAAATAAGTAGCATATATAGCCATTCAACAAATTTCTCTTAAACTCTGTGTATTTACTGCATATAATCCATGTTTGTATTAAATCATATTGGAATAGGAAAGACGTATGCCTGCAGGAAGACATTTAAGGATGGAAGGTAAATTTAGGGGGGAAATAAGTAGGTCCTCCCATACAACCAATTTAGAAAAATCATGAGTGGTAGTGTAAATTGGATTGATTCATATCATCTTAACGTGATGCAAGTCTTTGTAGCTGCTGACAGATGTGCTGCATCTTCCAAGCAAGAGAAAGGCTGATTATAGAGATTGCTATACTTGTGAATTGCCAGGGCTTGACAGATAAGAATATAGGTGAGAGCTTACTAATAGATTAGTGTGTATTTGACTGTAGCTGACACACACTCTGCCTTTATGCATCTCGTTCCCTGGATTACACAAATCACCTGTGTGTGTCTTATTTTTTTCTATGTTAAAGTCAAATTTGATTAGGCAAGTTTTGGGCTTTTTGCTAAGGTGTTAGATGTAAAGGGCTATGGTACTGCATCACATACGGAGCTACAGTTTTATGGTCTTTCTATGGTCTCAGCTGTTGCCTCCTCCAACCTTGTCTTCTCTACATTTCATTCCTTTATCACCTAATATAGCAAAAATAAAAAAATAAAAAATGAAGGTGCATGTCACCTTTATATATTTTTTGCCTAGCATTTGCTTGTAAAAATTATCTTCACCGCACTGTACATAAAGCTAAGCCCATCCTTTGTTTATTTATGACCTTTTAATGGTTTTGCTCTGTAGAAGAAATAAATATTCTTAAAAGCTTGTTATCATGAAGGAATTAATTTACAGAGCATGGTTTCATTCCAGACAACATAGATCGAGACTTCTTAAACCCCAGATCCCCATAATAGAACTGTACCTCGGTGATCAATGTTTAAAGCTAATAAAGTAATAAAGACAAGTTTCATAGTTGTAGCCTGCAGCCAGGATGGATGCAAATAGTTTTGTGTGACATTATGAGTAATTATAATGTGCATGTGCTATCTTAAAGCTGTCTGACACTGCTTTTAATACATTGTAGAATAAGGTATATTTTGTTACAGGGTGCAATATATTCTTTGCACAAAACCGGCACCGGAGCAACTATGCAAAATGACATGTTAATTATCATGTACATGGAAGAAAGGAAAAACTAAGCACCGTTTTCCTCAGCGTTTGAATCATGCCCCTGGATATATGGTTGGTGCAATGTCACATTATAATTAATGCAAAAAAGTGAGCTAAAGATTCTTCCTTCAAAGACGAGCCATTGCACAGCAGAATGCTTACTCTGGGATTTGCAAAAGCTTGTATAATAAAGAAGTCATTCTGCATTTGAATAAACAGATGTTTAAAAGCATTTTACAAAGACAATGAACTGAAATGCTCAAGACTGAGTCGTGTTTATGAAGCATTCAGTATGCTGTGAGAATATTAAGAAGTGTTAGGCCACCGTTGTTACTTAACCATTAATGAGAGTGGCTAGACAGTGTTATCATATGTAAATATACGACTGATGCACTCAAGTATTTACTATGTTGACGCACCCGGGCAGGGATACAAGCTGATCCAAGCAAAGCTGCATCAATTTTCTGTGGTTCGTGATGAGAAAGAAATCATGAGTCAGCACTGTGGCAGGACTGCCATTGCATGGAAAATTGATCCAATCCAACACTAAATATCCTCATAAACAAATATGTTACAGCATTTTAGTCATGATAATGAATGATGTTACAGTAGGTGACCCTGCAATCACCACCACTACATACACTAAGACCTTCCGACTCACATGCAGCACTGCAGTTTGAAGAACTGACGGGCAATTGGAGCAGACAACGTGGTCTGTCAGGGTACATAAGGAGATTTCAGAGGATTACTTTTGCAATTTTGGATTCAATGCATTATTCATAATCCTTTGGATAGCAGGGGCCAAATCAGGGAAGGTCCTCAGGTCATTAGAGGAGATCGCTTGCTGTGAAGAGGAGGAGAAAAAGGCGTTTGAGATTCGTAAAAAAAGGAAATTCTCTTTCATGAGTAAGAACATTTTTATGTATCATAGTCACACTCAATCATTCAGCTCTGACTTCCAACAATAATAACTCATTAAAGGGATTTTCTTGGTTTCCTTTTGTTATGTTGAATCACTGTTTAGCTATTTTATAACAGTTACAAGAGTGTATAAGGAAATCACATGCACTCAAAGAGGACTTCCTGCAAATGTGATTACCTTTTCAGTAGTGTGAGATTAGGGTTTCTGAGTGTGAAATAGCATGATTTAATGTGAATCAGCCTTGAAAAAAATCTCTTTTTTATCTGTGCACCCACTTCAACAAACAACTTGACATATCAAATTGACTAGCAAGCAATCAGACCATCCTCCAAGAAAATTAATCTGCACCGTATTCTAAACGCAGAGTATGTAAAATGAAAGCATGATATACTCTTTTGGCAAAATGAGAATGAACTAGTTTTGTTTCGGTTTTGTACATGTATTTTTTTTCCATCTTGCTCTAACTTATTTTAGTTAATAAAGCATGGCAGGAGCTGGGATTAACAATTGTTCTTAAGTACAGTACCTTGCAAAAGTAATGATATCTCTTGAAAGTGTTGTGACAGCAACTGTAAGATTGCTCAAGCCATGTGGAAAATTCAAGCCAGTGAAAACAAAGCTGAGACAAATGCACAATAGTTTTAATGGCTACACAATAAAGCACAAGTTTACCCGAGGCATTTAATTAGGCTTTTACCTGATCAGCAAACATTAAAGGAAATTTTATTTCCACATCAAGTCAGTAATGTTATTTCAAGGCAGTAAAATACAAATCAACATTAAATCTCATGCTTTTAAAAGGAGACAGACAAAGGAGGAAAAATAATGTTGTGTCAAACACCTTTTATAGTTACTAAAGCGAGTGAGCAAATGAACACATAAGTAAGTGAGAGCTGAAACTGAAAGACACCGTTTTTTGTTACATTGGGCCCTTGATTTTACATTATTACATCATGTTCTACTAACCCATATGCGATTTATGTTATTTGGTGCTTTTCTGAAGATATTCCGTTAGGTTATATCTAAGTAACGTCTACCTATGGGCAAACGACTTGAAGGCACAAACAGAACTGTTCATAAATTGAGACATTATATTTCTCCTACAAGCCCATTAGGTGGCAGGTAGAGAGAGTTATTGCTAGCATGCAGATTGTTGCCTCTGATCTCTATTTATTCACTGGATGGTAGTATGGAGTGGAGTTAAGCCACTGGCCGCCATATTGGTACTCTCTAGTTAGACCGGTCACAATTTAAACAATACGACCACTACAGCTTCTAACAACGATGATGTATTCATTTTCAGGGGCACTTTAACACACACTTGCTGTCTCATGGCATACATAGATTACTGTAATTTATGATAAGAAACATAGGCACACCACATTGCATAGTCAATTAAGTCTATAATATACAAATCCATCACAACAAAATTAATGTGTCAATGGAGCACAATAATACAGATGCACCAAAACTGTCATTGTCTTGGTTCTGTACATTTTTTTTTGTTGTTTTCAGTTTCATGTTGATCCATGTTTTTCTTTGTTTTATAGTTTTATTAGTTTAATTCCTATTTTGCTGTGTTTTTCTGGATGTTTTTTGAGTTCTTAGGTTGCTCTTTGTTTCCCTCTGTTGCCCTTTTGGTCCCCTTCTCCCTAGCTCCCTTCTAGAAGGCTCTGTCCACAGCTGTTCCCAATCAACTCGTTAGTCCTGTCTTTGTTTAGTCAGCCATAAATACTCTCCCTGTGCAGTTCCTCAGTGGTGGTTCCTCGTGCTTGTTTTCCCTGATGTCTCCATGGTTCTGGTTGTTTTATATTTTTAAGTTGGATTTCTGGATTCCTGCCTCTGTTACCCGTGAACACTCGATTAAAACTAAAATAACTCACCTCTGTCCCCCTGCCTCTGCACTTGGTTCCTCACACCTCAACCAAAACCTGACAAAAAGTGCTAAATTGATTATGTACGTGTAATATACATGTATGGATGACATAGTTGTGGTAATTACATATTCCATTTAACTTTAGGATTTTGACATCAAGATGAAATTACAAGTATGTCTGTTAATAGTATATTATTTTCTTATTTGCAAATTTTGCATGCATGATGCTATATACTTTTATGCTGTGTCTGTGCATTAGCCTTTAAAAATGTTTGGGTTTCTTTTTTTCCGTCACAATAACATGCAATATTTCAGCACATGACTTTTTCAAATTAAAAAATACAACAAACACTATTAAAAAAAACAGCGTCATCCACTTAATTAAGAATGACTTAACTGACAATTCACAGTAAATTACTTTCTATTTACTCTACATTCTATTTTAGAACCTTAGACACAATGTCGATGGCTAACTTAGTCAATATCTGGGAGTCAGTCCGAGATAGCCAAACTAATGTTACGCTACATACTATACAATAGGATACATTGGTGTATATATGGATTTTCTTGGTTAGTACATCCACTGACTGTGATATTACCTGTGAAACACCTTCCCACAGCCAGCAAATTGCTTGTTTTTGCTGCCAAATGCTACACACGCAGGCATTTTTATGGCGTGTCTACATGGGAGTGTTGAGTATCAATATGGCGGCTGGTGGCTTTACTTTTATCGGGCTATCAGCAATACAGGGAATAAATAGAGATCAGTGATTGTTGCATACAAGTAGAAATCTTTACAAGGTTACAGTAAAGTTCTGAAACAATGCACTTTGGGCAAGCAATCTTTGAAATACTGAAAGCTTGGGTTTTAACTTCTACAAATTTGGGGTCAATGCAAAGAAAAAAATTAAATAAAACCTGAATAGCAATTTTTG